GCCAAACTGCAACAAGAACAACAACAACAACAAAATAGCCAGGCATTGTGGCGGGCACCTATAGTCCCAGCTACTCAGGAAACTGAGGCAAGAGAGCTGCAAACTTGGGAGGCCTAAGCCCAAGAGCTATGAGCTGTGACGCCACGACACTCTACCAAGGGAGGGTGACAAAGTAAGACTCTGACTCTTTTTTTAAAAAAAAAAATCCATCCTTTCCTTCTGGCTGCAGGGAGAAAATGATGTAAATAGGCAGTCAGAAAACACAACCTGTGCCCCTGCCTACCACGGGAAATCTGGGCCCCTGACTTTCTGCCTTACCTTTGAGGGGGTTCATCAATCTGCATTGTGTGCAAAGAAGACAGGTGGCAAAAAGGAAATTTGTTGCAGATGTGGAGAAGAAAGGAAAAAAAATAGTCTGCCTCAGCAAAGTTGAGAGTGACAGAATACAGAAGGTGCTGCTTTATCCAAGTTTAAAGAAAAACTCACATGCACAATCTCTTTCAAAAGTAAATAATAATAATAAACAAACAAACAAAAAAGTATATAAAAGAGATATGTAGTGAAAAGGTAATGCTTGTACATTGTTGGTGGGATGCAAGTTAGTAAAACCTCTATGAGTATCAGTTTGATGGTTTCTCAGAGAACTCAAAGCAGATGTACCATTTGATTCAGCAGTCTAACCACTGAGTATCTACCAAAAGGAGAAGGAATCATTGTATCAAGAAGATACCAGGCACTCTAATGTTTATTACAGGACAATTGCAAAGATGTGGAATCAACTTAAGTGCCTACCAACTGATGAACAGATAATGAAAATTTGTATACACACACATACACACCATGGAATACTACTCGGCAATGAAAAAAACATGAAAATGTCTCTCTCAACAACTTGGATGAAACTGGAGGCCATCATCCTAAGTGAAGCAACTCAGTAATAGAAAATCAAATACTTCATGTTCTCACTTACAAGTGGAAGTTAACCCGGGGCTATGCAAGGTCACACAGAGTGGTATAATGAACACTGGAGACACAAAAGGAGAGAGGCCAGAAGGGAGGTGAGGGATGAGAAATTACCTATTGGGTACTATGTATACTGTTCAGGTGATGGATACACTAACGTCCAGACTTTACCACTACACATATATCTATGAAACTAAAGTTCACTTGTATCCCCTAAGTCTGTTAAAATTAAAACAGAAGAAAAAAAACCTAGGGAGCCCATTTTGGTATTATAATGATGATAATATAGTATAATATCTAATGAACACTTACTCTGCACCTGGCAGCATTTTCACATGCATTATGCCATTGAATCTCAACAACCCTGAGAAATCGATCCCATTATTATTCCCATTTTACAGAAGAGAAAACTGAAACCTAAAAAGGTAAGTAAATATAAGATCACTACATGGACACTGCAAGTCCACTACTAGGTATACAAAGGCTGTCTGAAAAGTATCCAGCCATGTATTATATGTATATACATATGTTATTATATCTCTCTTTTTCATATACATATAGTACATGGCTGAATACTTTCCAGACAGCCTTCTTGTTCCCAGGCATGTGGCTCACCCTGTAATCCTAGCACTCTGGGAGGCCAAGGTGTAAGGGTTACTTGAGAGTTCAAGACCAGCCTGAGCAAGAGCAAGACCTCATGTCTCCAAAAAAGCAGAAAAATTAGAAAATAGAAAAGCATTTGTGTTAATAACTTACCCAAGGTCATATAGCTAGAAAATGGCTAAGCCAGAATTTGAACCCAAACCTGTCTGACTCTTGGGTCTGTGCTCTCAACTTCTATGCTTCCCTGCCACTGAAAAGAGCAACAAAACAAGAGTTAGGTCATCTTTGTTCTTGCCACTACTATCTTATGTGACCTTACTTTTGAAGTTCTCACTTCCCTTAGCTGTTAAAAGATAAGAGTAGATAAAATATCTTTGGCATTTGTAACTCTTCTGACTAGTATCTGCTCATGTAAAATCCATGTTGATTTACAACACGAAAAGTCCCAAACTTTGGTTGCTAACCCAGATATCATTTGCTTCTGGTACACTCTGGGGTCATCCATGGATGCAGAGCCCCAGGGAGGGGGCTCTGTCATCCTCCCTTACCTAGCTCCTCCTCCAGGGGGTTGCCCTGGAGTTGAGCCAGCCTTTGTGGAGGACTCTACTCCCCTTCTTTCTGTTCTGAGACAGGGCTCAGGCCTGGCTCTGCTCCAGGATAAACTTTCACAAGGCAAGAGATAACACCAAGTCAAGGTGAAGACCAGGACAGTCCTTAAAAAGGCCTCCTTATAGCCTAGAGTTGCTGCAGCACTCCCACTCCACTGCAGTCCATCCTGCCGGCCAGCACCCAGCCACCATGTGGGAGATTGTGGCTCTCCTGCTGCTCACCTTAGCCTATTTCTACTGGCCCAAGGTAAGGAACCCTGGTGCCAAGTACCCTAAGAGTCTCCCATCTCTGCCCCTGGTGGGCAGCCTGCCATTTCTTCCCAGGCGTGGTCATCTGCATGTCAACTTGTTCAAGCTGCAAGAAAAGTACGGCCCCATCTATTCTTTCCGTATGGGTCCCAAGACTACAGTGGTTGTTGGCCACTACCAGCTGGCCAAGGAGGTGCTTATTAAGAAGGGCAAGGATTTCTCTGGGCGGCCCCAAGTGGTAAGCAATGCCAATCTTCTCCCTCCCTCACCAGCCCCTGGTGGTGTTTAGGTCTTCAGTCAAGACCATGCCTAAAATGAGTAAGCCTGAAATGACCCTTTTAGCTCCAACAACCTACAATTCTTCCAAAAACAGACCAGTGGGGTAATGGGAAGGCAGCAAGCCCTCAGGCCCCACCTAGCCTCTAACCTTGGCAGGAAGAATTAAAGGAAGGCTTACTCTACTGGGATGCCCATGATGTGGGGTGGGGTGATACCAATGGCCTGAGGGGTCAGGGAGCCCTCACTCTACTCATCTTGCCCCTAAATGGGATGATAATCTCTCCCAGCCTAGACCTCTCCAGTGAACTGAGAAGATATGGATAAAGCACTGAGCTCAGCACCCAGCACAAAAAGTGCTCCCAAAATAGCTAGTATTAATGTTACTCTTCCTGGAAAATGGGGTAGTGATTACTTCCCTTCTTGGGGGTGCTGGGAGAAATAGCCTGGCCCCTGGAGGCCTAGGACTGCTGTTTCCCAGGAGCTGTCCCCAGCTGCTCCACCTATCCTACAAAACTTTCTGTTGTGCTCCTGAGCAGGGGCACTAACCATCCCACACCACCACCCACTCCCCCATCCCAGCACCCACCTCTATCTACTAGGTTCCTGTTCAGGGAAAAGAAGATAGAGGAGTCTAGTCAAGTGGAGCTGGAGTCATGGGATGGAAAAGGGAGGCTTTGGGGACTGGGCGTGGTGACTCATGCCTGTAATCGTAGCACTCTGGGAAGCCAAGGTGGGTGGACTGCTTGAGCTCAGGAGTTCAAGACCAACCTGAGCAAGAGTGAGATCCCTGTCTCTACTGAAAATAGAAAAAATGAGCTGGGCTTGGTGATGCATACCCATAGTCCCAGCTACTCGGGAGACTGAGGCAAGGGGATGTCTCAAGCCTAAGAATTTGAGGTTGCTGTGAGCTATGATGCCAGGGTACTCTACTCAGGGTGACAAATAAGACTCTGTCTAAATAAAAAAAAAAAAGAAGGCAGCATCTGTGGCCCAGTGAATAGAGCACCGGCCCCATATACCGAGGGTGGTGGGTTCAAACCTGGCCCCGGCCAAACTGCAACAAAAAAATAGCCAGGCATTGTGGCGGGTGCCTGTAGTCCCAGCTACTTGGGAGGCTGAGGCAAGAGAATCACCTAAGCCCAAGAGTTGGAGGTTGCTGTGAGCTGTGACATCGCTGCACTCTACAGAAGGGCTAAAAGTGAAACTCTGTTTCTAAAAAAAAAGAAAGAAAAAAAGAGAGGCTTCAGACCCTAATGCTTTGGGAGCACCTCTAGGATAAGATAGCTTGGTTCAAGTCTAAACTGGGTGGACAAGCCGAGTGCAGTGGCTCACCCCTGTAATCCCAGCACTCTGGAAGGCTAAGACAGGTGGCAGGTCTAACACAGCCTGGGCCTGCCAAACAACAATGACAACTACAAACAACAATGACAACTACAACTACAACAATAGCCGGGCGTTATGGCAGTGCCTATAGTACCAGCTACTTGGGGAGGCTGGGACAAGAGAATCACTTAAGCCCAAGAGTTTGAAGCTGCTGTGAGCTATGACACCACAACACTCTACCAAGGGTGACAAAGTGAGACTCTGTCTCAAAAAGAAGAAAGGGAGGATGAAAGAAAGGGAGGATGGAAGGAAGGAAGGAACGAATGAACGAACTAGGTGGACAGAACAGTTCCATTGTCTAGACATGGGGTTGTGGTTGGATGTGCAGGCTTGCAAAGGAGGGGTAAGCAAAAACAAGATGCCTTTAGCCCTTCCCAGAGGACCCAGGGAAAGACTAGTCTGGGCAGTCCTCCATCTCTATAAGCTGGCCTGCTCCCTACTCCAGGACACACCTTCCCCTGATCAGAAACTAAAGAGAAGAGAGAGGCCCAGAGGTCACCCTGTCAGAGAAGTGAACCCAGGACTCTTGCATTTTAATTCAGGGTTTTTTCTTCCTCCCCACAATATGTCCCTCTGATGGAACTGGGAGTAGGGGGCCTTAGGGCTTGTGCTCCAAGACCTTACAGCCACGGTGGAGTGCAGCAACTGGGGGTCAGCATGGCAGGTGCCTGCCTCCTTCCCCAGGAAGGGGGACAGGTACAGGAGCCAAGGGCAAGGATGAGGTGGATAGTGTGGGGTTCTTACAGCCTTGCCTGCTCTCCAAAGACCACTCTAGGTATCCTGTCAGACAACCAAAAGGGCATTGCCTTTGCTGACTACAACAACAACTGGCAGCTGCATCGGAAACTGGTGCTGGCCACTTTTGCTCTGTTCAAGGACGGTGACCAGAAGCTAGAGAAGATCAGTGAGTGCCAGGCTGGCCTCTAGGGGGGGTGGGCAGGATCCCACAGTGGGTACAGGAGGGAGAAGGAGGCTGGGGCGGGGGAAGAGGGTTAGGAATGGCCCAGGCCAGCCTTTTCTTGGCTACTGCTGCCATCTAGTGGCACTCTGCTACCTGTCCCCTGCTTTGGCTGAGAGGGAGCTGGTAGAGAGGGGGGCAAAGGCGCTCATTCATTCCCCACCCTGTGCCCCTCTCTCTCTTCAGTATGTCAGCAACTCAGTTTATTGTGTGACATGCTGGTCACTCACAATGGAGAGTCCTTAGATCTTTCTTTGCCTCTCTTCATGGCGGTAACCAACGTAATCTGCTTGATTTGCTTCAATTCCACCTACAAGTTTGGGGATCCTGATCTGACAGTGATACAGAATTACAACGAAGGCATTCTGGAATCTCTGGGCAAGGACAGTCTGGTAGACATATTCCCCTGGCTGAAGGTGAGGATGAGTCAGGTCTCTACCTGCAGATTCCAGTAGCCTCTGACAGTCTTCAATTTCCTTTTACTGTCCAACCCCAGACCTGCCTTTTTCCTGACCCCTGAACCACAGTGACCTCTATCTCCTCTGCCTCTCAAAACCTTTGCCACTCTGCTGACATAGGTTTAGTCTTTTAATCATACATCTTTATGCTTTTGATAATGGCTCTCTTATTTTCTAATTACCATGTGCCAATATTAAGCTTTCTATATATATTAATTGATGAATTCCCCTTGGAGGGAGGTTTTACTATTTCCATTGTGCAGATGAGAAAACAGTCTCAGTGAGGTGAAGGAACCTGCTCAAGGCTTCAGACTCAAATCTCTCTTACCCTCACAGGCTGGGCACACAGCAGAGTCAGGGCTTGACGTTTGTCTGAGTAGGGAAGGAGAAGTGGAAACGACTCCCTCCTCTCTTGTTTGGAATCATGCTAGTTTTCATGATGATCCCATTCTGTGTCCCCATCTTGCTTTCTCTTTTGGCTGAAGGTCAGAGTTAGAGGGAGAACTCAAGACAGAAAGCTAGGATCTGCCTTCAGGAGGGATTCTGGCAGCTAAAAAGCAAAATGGAAGAGGATTGGGTTTGACATTTCTTTTTGCTCCCAGATTTTCCCCAACAAAACCCTGGAATTGTTGAGGAACTGTGTTAAGATGCGAAATAGTCTGCTGAATAGAATTTTTGAAAAATATAAGGTAGGTAATGGAGCAGATGAGAATATAAGTTAGCTTAAAAGTGTCATTAGAGCAGAGCTGGGTCCATTTTGGACACTGTAGAATCTCTAAAAGCTAGAATAAGACAGCCTGGCACCTAGTAGGTGCACAATAAAAATTGATTTAATGAATGGGGGTGGGAAAATGAGGGATTGAAGAGATCCTTAGAGGATCCATTCTCCCCCGGCAAACTTAAAGAGGGCTCACTGCTGCCTCCCACCTCCACAGCATGTAGGTCCTGCCCAGCCACACTCCACTTGCATGCAGAAGGAGTCTTATTGTCTCTAGTCTGGGAGGAGTGGGGAGAGTCTTATTGTCTCTAGTCTGGGAGGAGTGGGGAGAGTGGGGAGAGTGGGGAGAGTGGGGCTCCTTCCTTATCACTGCCTCCCAACCTCTCCTGACTAGGAGAAATTCAGGAGCGACTCTACCACCAACATGTTGGACATACTGATCCAAGCCAAGATGAACACAGATAATAACAACAGTGACCCAGACCAGGACCCAACGATACTTTCAGATGAACACATTCTCGCCACTGTAGGGGACATCTTTGGGGCTGGCGTAGAGACCACTACCTCTGTGATAAAGTGGACTGTGGCCTTCCTGCTGCACAATCCTCAGGTGGGCTTCTCCCTATTCTTGTCTCCCCATCCACCCTAGACCCCTGCCAGCCCAACCTCTAGACCCCAGAGAGAGGGAGTTAATGCCCTCAGGCCTTCTGTGCAGGAAGGCCTTCCCCAAGTAGTGGTTGGCTCCAGTCCCAGAGTGGAGCTGCCCTATCTTCTGGTAGCAGGGCCTGGGCTGCGGAGCCACCACTGAAAGGCTCTGGACAGGCTCTTCTGGACATGCTGTTGGGTTCTGCTAAGCCCATGCTTCTCTTGGGCTTAAGCACACTGGTGACATTCACCCTCCTCTGGCCCTCAGTTGAAGAAAAAGCTCCAAGAGGAAATTGACCAGAATATAGGTTTTAGCCGTACACCAACAATCAGCGACCGGCACCATCTCATCCTGCTAGAGGCCACCATCCGAGAGGTGCTTCGTATCCGGCCTGTGGCCCCTTTGCTCATCCCCCACAAGGCTAACGTTGACTCAAGGTATGCCTTCCCTCCCAATGACATCCTGCCCCTTGATGCATCCAACACTGCTTGCCAGCCCACCTGGTTCCCCCTCCACACCCCACACCCCAGTCTGCTGATTAACCTAGAGCCAGCCAACAATTTACTACTATCAAACATCCTATCCTAGCCCTACTGCTCAATGTGTCTGTCCACTACCCACTGGCACCAATTGATTAACCCATGGACCTACCTAACTTCCCTCAGAAGCTGCCTGCTCTCCATGGAGACATATGGTCTGGGATGAAAGACTAGGTGCTCCATGCTCCTGCCTAGTCCAACAGCTGCAGCAAAGGCATGCACCAGCTCTAAATGTACATTCCCACACCCTGACAGACACGAATGTCTATGTACACCAGTGTTCATACAGAAGCACTTGTTGAGAGGAAAGGATTGGAGAAGGGTTGGGTTCAGATTTGATCTGGCAGGAGCTGAGCAAAAGACGAATGAGTGGGCATGAGGGAATACAGGGTACTCCCCCCCCAGGGTGGAGGAATGTAGGGGCTTGGAGGATGAGCGAGAAGAGGAGGACAATGTTCCAGACCCCCTTTTCTTCTTCCTCCCTGGAATAGCATCAGCGAGTTTGCCATAGACAAGGGCACACATGTTATCATCAATCTGTGGGCACTACACCACAATGAGAAGGAGTGGGACCAGCCGGACAAGTTCATTCCTGGTGAGTCCCTGTCCTATCCTGCTATCTGGGCCACACAGCCAGCCTGGACTCTGTGCTTTACCACCCCAGCACCCTTTCCCTCTGCCAAGCTTGCTGCTGGAAGTTGGCTCCAACTTCATGGACCTGTTGATACACTATCCTGCCATAGACTTTCCCAAATTCTTGACAGCTGGCTTTTCCACACTCTCCTTCCGACCACTGCATATTGACTCCTCTAAGAGGTCCTCTAGGCATCTGTCTCCCATCAAATCTGCCCCCTTTCACCTTGGAGGGTAGCGTTTTCATCTGTTAATACTGCCTGTTTTTCATCCTTCCTGAATATTTCATTTCCTTTGTCTCTCTCCTCAGGCTGGGGTTCCCCAGGCAGTGTGTTTCTCCCCTTCAGCAGAGAGGCTTGCCTATGCTTACTCCTGCCCTGGCCCTGGCTGAGGCCTTCTTTTCCCTACAGAGCGCTTCTTGGATCCAACGGGTAACCAGCTCATCTCACCATCATTGAGCTACTTGCCATTCGGAGCAGGCCCCCGCTCCTGTGTAGGTGAAGTCCTGGCCCGCCAGGAGCTCTTCCTCGTCATGTCCTGGTTACTGCAGAGGTTCGACCTGGAGCTGCCAGATGATGGGCAGCTACCCTCCCTGGAAGGCAACCCCTCGGTAGTCTTTCTGATCAAGCCTTTCAAAGTGAAGATCAAGGTGCGCCAGGCCTGGAGGGAAGCCCAGGCTGAGGCTAGCACCTAGAGGATGTACCTAACACCCCTGACTCCACCCGTCCGGCCCAGACAGGATGGGATTAGATTAGATTAGTGCAGAATTAGAGTAGAGGTGTTCCTCCCACCTTTCCTTCCCTCCATCCCCCTCCTCCAAGCCCACTCTGCCCTCTTTTCCAGCCTGCAACAATGATGTGCATAAACCATTTTCTTCAGAAAGTCTGAGCAGCTCGTTCATTTACTCATTTGCTCCCTCATTCTTTCAACAAATATGTTGTTGAACACCTATTACGTGCCATTCACTGTCCTAGAATACTTGAGCTCCCTGGTCTCATGAGGCTTACATTTTAGTGAGGACTAACAAGTAAACAAGAATTTCAGGGCGGCATCTGTGGCTCAAAGGAGTAGGGCGCTGGCCCCATATGCCAGAGGTAGTGGGTTCAAACCCAGCCCTAGCCAAAAACTGCAAAAAAAAAAAAAAAATTTTCAGAGACTCGTAAATGCTATGAAGTTGATTACTCTGTGCGATGTAATGAGAGAATGGCAGAGGTTGGGGGTGACCACTTTAAACAAGGTGAGGAAGGTCTGGCCACTGTGGAGTGAGTGTTCCCTGCTGAAGAAGAGGCAGGTGAGAGGTCTCCAGTTGGAAGACACAGCCAGTGAAGGAAAGAGTGGTCCTCACTGAGTGGGAGACAGGGGCCAGGTCCAATGAGGCCTTTGTAAGTAGGAAATAGTAGCAGGAAGGGGGTTGGGTTTTTATTGCAATTATGATAGGAAGTCCCTAGAGGGATTTAAACATGTCAGTGGAGCAGTCTAGTTTGTATTTCTGGAAGATTGCCTCCTCCTATATGGAGAATGGTCTGCAGAGAGCAGAGTGGGAGCTGCCAGGGCAGTTATGCAGGGGGTGTCTAAGATATGGAGATGATGAAAATGGGTAAGGCTGAGTTTACATTTTGAAAGTAGAACCACAAATGTTGTTTGTTTTGACCCAAGCAGGCTTCTGCCTCACAGGTTTGGCTTTGGGGGCATATATGTAACCCTCAGACTGGACTTGCCATTGCTGCCCTTTGTCTTGGTCCCCTTCTCATCATCCTTTCCCCGGATAAACACTATCAGGAAGGGGCTTCCATAGCTGTCTTCTGCTGCACTGCCTGGGTTCTGCCCCTTCTCCCTACTCAAAAACTGTAGGAAATCTATAAAAGTCTCCTCACTTGAAAATGGAGCCCAGATACCTTAAAACCTTGAAACCAGCATCTTTAAACCTTGGCTGTTGGCCAGTCTGCAAATGAAAAATGTCCTGAGGAGAAAAAAGAAAAAAAGCAAAATGTGCTGAGATCTCCCAGAAGCAACTGACTCTTACCCTTTAACCTAGAGAGAGGACCCATCCCCAGCTTCTTGGCACCAGCAAGATCAGGGCTACATCATCAACAACCCAAGCCTTTCCCTGTGACTAAAGAGAAGGCTCTGAAATGACCACCAGGGCAAGGCTGAGACCCTGCCTGGCTAAGTTGGAAGAGAGAAAAGACCAAAGGTGACCTTCCCAGGAAAGGACAAGGTTTCTAATTACAGCAGCTTCTCCTTCCTTCAAAGAGCTTTGTTATCCAAGTGTAGGATACTAATCTCCCTGCTCAGTCTTGGCCATCATCTTAGGATATTGCTGAAGAGCCCACAGCACAAGCAGCCTGGGAGAGATGCTAGCCCCACAGTGAGCTGAAGGGAAAGGCTAACTGGAGGGCACCTTTCCTCTCCCAGGCTCCTCTTCCTCCATCAGCCAGTTGCTGGGCTGGAGCCAAACTACCCTCAGCTCAAGGTAGAGGGGGTAGGACTAGCTGGAAGAGGGCTAAAATGATGAACAGATAAACAATTAGCAGACAGCCTATGTCCTCTGTGGAAGTGGTGACTTTAACTGGGGTAGAAAGTATCCAGTCTCCAACTACCAAGCCAGAACACTGAATGGCATGGAAATGAGAGACTAACTCTTCATTTTGAAGGTGAGGAAACTAAGGGCCATTGTGGGGAGAAGTGTGACTTGTCCCAAGTTGCTCGGCTACTTAGCAGCAGGGCTAGGACCAGAAACCATGGTTTCAGTGATGAATGAGGAGCCAGCTATGCCTTCCTACCTGTTCCCTGGGTCAAACAGAAGGCTCTCAGGAGGTGTGGCTGGGGAGAGTACCTTTCAGAAAAGTCAAGTGTCCTTTTAAAAAATGATCTCATGAACTCTGACTCTTGCCCAAACCATGCTGTATCCCCATCTGGAAGGCCTTTCCCCCACTCATCTAAATCTCCCCGCCTCAGATCAATTTCTCGTGACTCCCACTCTAGTGACCGTCCCTGTCTAGTACTCAGCTTCTATTTCTTGGTACTGAACCAAAGAACTGGACCTGAGCTGAACCTTGGTGTCTTGTCTGGGCTTGACATGGATATGGTTGTCCCTCAGGGATGCTGTCCACCTCTGTATCTATGGAGTTTGAGACTGAACATTTTCATGTCCTTTATCCTGCTTATCAGCACCTGACAAGTAGACACACACAATGTCTGAATCAAATGCTCTGGATCATTTGCTAATCGGCCCAGTGAAAAGTAAATAAACTCTATGTAGAAGGAAGCCCAGATCTTTGGCGATGCTGGGAAGTCTTTTCCAAGATACCACTGTCCTTGACCAGTGGTGTGATAATAAAATATGTGTTTAACTAGCTCTAGATGGAGGTGGAAGAGATTTTCTCTGATTTGTAGTGTTTGCTGATTAGTGTGGTATAAATACTCCTGCTGTGACCAATTTCAAGCTATCGATGTGATGTTACTGAGCAGAATTGGGAAGAGATGCACAGTAGCACTGTGTGCTCTTCACCATTCTAAGTAAATGCCATATATAATAGTTACACCACACTGATAGAGATATAAATAACCTCAAGGGCATAATAGTAGAGATGTGTAGTAAAATAATAAGGAAATGATCCATTTGAGTATGTTTTTAATGCTGTATATTCAATTGTAGGTTTGTATAATTTTTTAAGTCAGCTATTTAACGAGCAGCTCATAAAATTCTTTTTTTTTTTTTTTGAGACAGAGCCTTAAGCTGTCACCCTGGGTAGAGTGCTGTGGCATCATAGTTCACAGCAACCTCCAACTCCTGGGCTCAAGTGATTCTCCTGCCTCCGCCTCCCAAGTAGCTGGGACTACAGGCGCCCGCCACAACTCCTGGCTATTTTTTGGTTGCAGCTGTCATTGTTTGGTGGGCCCGGACTGGATTCGAACCCACCAGGTTAGGTGTATGTGGCTGGCGCCTTAGCTGCTTGAGCCACAGGGACTGAACCTCATAAAATTCTTGAAAATTTAATAATCAGCTCTGGTGGGCTATGAGCAAACCCTCCTTTATAATGTTGGCACGGGTGAGAGTGAATGAATGTTCTGGTTTACCACAAAACCTGAAGCGAATGAGAAGCCCCCTCTGCAGTCACCCTCACAGATGTTAATGCCCATCTCTGGATAGCGCTGCAGTCAACAGAGGCCAGAGTCGGGCAGGAAGTGCATAGTGTCAGGAGGAACCTGAATGCCCAGGTGCTAGTCACCTGGCTCCCAAGTTTCCTAGTCCTGGATCACAGGCCCACTGCTAACTTCCTGAACCTTAGTTTCCTTATTTGGAAGGTGGGGGTAACTTACCAGCTGTGCTACACTGAGGAAAGACAGAAAGGGTTGTGAGCAGGATAGTCCCACACAGATGAGATCTTCAGATGACACAGGTGCAGCTGTGGACACAGATTCTTCTGGTATTGTCATTTAGACTGAGTTGCCATGGGCAACTTACATGGCCCCCCCCTTTTTTTTTGAGACAGTCTTACTTAGTCACCCTAGGGTTGAGTGCTATGGCATTAGAAATCTCTTGGGCTTGGCTCGGCACCTGTGGCTCGGGCGCCAGCCACATAAACCTAAGGTGGCAGGTTCTAATCTGGCCCAGGTCCACCAAAAACAATGACAGCTGCAACCAAAAAAAATAGCTGGGCATTGTGGCGGGCGCCTGTGGTCCCAGCTACTTGGGAGGCTGAGGCAGAGGACTCGCTTGACCCCAGGAGTTGGAGGTTGCTGTGAGCTTTGATGCCAGAGCACTCTACCCAGGGTGACAGCTTGAGACTCTGTCTAAAAAAAAAAAAAAAATCTCTTGGGCTCAAGAGATCCTCTTGTCTCAGACTCTCAAGTAGCTGGGACTATAGGCAGCTATTTTTAGAGATGGGGGTCTCACTCTTGCTCAGGCTGGTCTTGAATGCTTGACTCAAGCAATCCGCCTGCCTCAGCCTCCCAGAGTACTAAGATTACAGGTGTGAGCCACTGTACCTGGCCTTACATGGCCTTTTTAAATGTCACTTTTCTCATCCATAATATGGGGGGGAGAGGGGCCGAGGTGTATGTAGAAATAGTACTGACCTCTAGTGTTGCTGCGATGATCAAGTATCAACCTATGTAATGTGTTTAGTGCCTTGATAAATACTGGCTTTATCATCGTCTTCTGTATCCTAACTCACAAAGTCCTCCCCTGAGGGTTTATAAAACCTCCCCAAAGACACCAGCTTGGTCAGGAGGGGTAGTGACTATGTGCAGACAAGTCTTTCCACATCATGGGACTTCTAGGAAGCCACAAAACTCCAGAGACCCTGCAGGGCCCCTGCAGTCCTTGGCTGGCTGCCTGCCCAGCCCAGCCCAGCTCCTCAGAGCCAGGGCAAGCTGACAGCTGGGAAGTGGGTGGGGAGCCCAAAGACAAACTCCTTTCATGGCTCCAACACAGAGGGTGTTTTGTAACATTTTCCAGTGCGATTAGGTTTCTTGAGACTTCTTCGTGAGAAAACATGAAATGGAAGGAAAATTAAACTACAGTAAGGAACAGGGTTGTACAGAGAAATTTCAGATGGAACAAAAATCCTCTTCTTCCCTTACAAACACTGAAAGCTCTATTTTGATTTCTGAGGAAAACACTCTTTGAAGGAAAAGAGACAAGGAAGAGCCAAACAGCTAACTTTGGAGGATTGTACAATGTTTCAAGGGGTTACACCCTCCTGGTGAAAGTTAACACTGATCTGAAGAAATGCATCAGGCACCACCTGTCCCAGGTGCAGGGCCGTTTCAGCCCTTAGGGGTGAAAGCTAAGCTGGCCTTGTGGGACTCTGGGGAGGAGGGGGACAAGGGAGTAAAGAAGGAAATGGCCTCGGCGTCTGTGGCTCAAGCAGCTAAGGCACCAGCCACATGCACCTAAGGTGGCGGGTTCGAATCCCCAGCCCGGGCCTGCCAAACAACAAGGATGGCTGCAACCAAAAATGGCCAGGCGTTGTGGCGGGCGCCTGTAGTCCCAGCTACTTGGGAGGCAGAGGCAGGAGACTCGCTTGAGCCCAGGAGTTGGAGGTTGCTGTTAGCGTGATGCCATGGCACTCTACCCAGGGGGATAGCTTGAGGCTCCGTCTCAAAAAAAAAAAAAAAAAAGGAAATGGTGTCTGCTCCATCTTTCACACAATTCCATGCTCAGTATGCCTTTTTTCTGGTTCCCTCATGCCCAGTCACAATTTCTTCAAATGGCTTATGCTCCAATATCATAACTTTTCACTATAAGGCCTGCTCATTAATTGCATGGGCTTTGAAGTCACCAGATCTGGCTCCAAACACTAACTTTGCCAGTTACTTTATTAGCTGTGTGATCTTGGACAAGTTAACTCCTTGAATACCTCAAGCCCATTAATAAAGCAGAAATAACTGCCTGAAGTACTGGCTTGAGGCTAAAGTAAGACAATGCAGGTAAGATGCATAGACAAGGCCTGGTACTGTAGAGTCAACCTATAAAATAGTGCCTTAATACTGGCTTTATCACCGTCTTCGGTATCCTAACCCACAAAGTCTTCCTCTGAGGGTTTATAAAACTCCCCAAAGACACCAGCTTGGTCAGGAGGAGTGGTGGGTATGTGCAGACAAGTCCTTCCACAACATGGGACCTCCAGGAAGCCACCCTTGTAACTCCAGAGACCCTACAGCCTCTGGCTGCCCAGCCCAGTCCAGCAAAAGGCAAATTCACATCTTTTTATGACTTGCTTAGAACTCCCAGCTGGGCTTAAGTCTCTTCCAGGGCATCCGTACACACAGGCTCTGTGGTTCTTACCATGCAGGACTGACTAAACAGGACTAAAACTATTGATGTGCCTGCCTTCCTCTCTAGACCATTAGCTGTTCTAGAGAAGCAAGTGGAAAGGACCTTTGTATTTCTGTGCCTGGAACGTGGCTCAGCTCCTAAATAAAGCCAAACTTACCCCTAGACTGGAATCTGAATCCTGAACCCAAGCCTTCAGCTAAACCCACTTTTCCCTCCTCTTGCATCAAACCCTGGTTTTTGCCCCAGCTGAAAACAGAAGAAACAGTAGAATGGGGGACTTCTTGAAATTATTCTTCTTCATCAAAACCATTGTTTTGTGCTTCAGGGCACTGGTACCGTCTCCATCTGAACTTTGTCACTTGGGACAACAGGAACAACCCATACCATACCTCATTAGAGAAATGAGGAACTCAGTGACCCAGAGATGTAGGCAGGGGTCCACAAACTTTTTAAACAGGGGGCCAGTTCACTGTCTCTCAGACTGTTGGAGGGCTGGACTGTGGGCCTGGGACGAGTCAGCTGCTAAGCAGGACAGGCAGCGGTGGGCTGCATGTGGCCTGCGGGCTGTAGTTTGAGGACCCCTAGTGTAGGGTATAATGGGGGCACTGGGGGTAGCTATAGACTGGGCATCAAGGGTACATGCACAGCCTCTGCATGGTTCCTTTGGGAACCAGCCTATAAAAGCTGCACCTTTTTGCTTTTGGGCCACTCAGACATTAGCTTAAAGGCAGCAGGCATGATGTTCTCCCCAGTTCTTTTCTATGGTTGTAGAATGGAACTGTCTTGGCTTGGCACCCATAGCTCAGTGGGTAGGGTGCTGGCCACATATACTGGGGCCGGCAGGTTTGATCCTGGCCCAGGCCTGCTAAACAATGACAACTGCAACAAAAACATAGCCAGGCGTTATGGCGGGTGCCTGTAGTCCCAGCTCCTTGGGAGGCTGAGGCAAGAGAATCCCTTAAGCCCAAGAGTTTGAGGTTGCTGAGAGCTGTGAGCACTCTACCAGGGGTGACATAGTGAGACTCTGTCTCTAAAAATAAGTGCAACTGTCCCTACGTGCTAATATGCCTCCACTGGGGCTACCTGGGGGAGTCTAAGGAACTGGGTAGCAATTACTTCACTAGCATCACTAAGGGGCCAGGAAAGTGTCGTTGGTCCAGGTTCAACGACAGGGGCAGGGACATAACTAATACTGGCCTCTCAGAAACAACAAGGCTGACTGCTGGGCAAGCCCAGTGCAAGAACCCAGGAAGGACGACCCTCACTGCCAGCACACATGGGGCCCCAGCCCACTAGTGAGCACTCCACTGGGGAGACAGGAATTACCTTCTGGGAGGGTGGCAATTAGCACATTATCTACTTTTCCCTATAGGCAGCCCAAAGAGAAGTCTTGCTGGGTAGTGGTGTCCTACTTCTTGGGCAGAGGTGCCAAGTTGTTCCTTTCTCTGGCCTTCAAGCAAAGATTTATAACCAAGTCTCAAGAGGACAGTCTTAAGCAGAGGCTAAAATGAACAAAGGAACTCTCCTTGTTGTAGGCAAGAATGATCGGCTCACAAAGATAAGACACTGGCACACAAGAGGCTCCCTTACTACCCAAAAATCAGTCCTGAGACTTCCCACCTGGCATTCAAGATCTTGAACTACCTCCCACTATTTCTTGAAAATCTCTGAATTTGTACCGTTCATCTCAACCTGCCTTAAAATAAATGTTAATCTCCTATTTCACACAGGTTTATTTTGTCTTCCTAATGAGAAGTTCTAGCGAGCATCACTTCTTGACCTTTCGGCTAAGAACAAGTGTAAGTTCCAGAGAGCAGGGTCTTCATATTACATATTTCTTTTGCATTATCCTTAGCATTTAACATAGTGCTTGTACAACTCAATATATATTTTGTATATTAAATTCCAAGGGCAAGCACCTACCCCCATGTCTAAGATATCAACAAAAGTGATCTCTCAGAGTGCTTGCTTCCTTCTTTTTCTGAAGTCTCATTTGTTGCCCTGGGTAGAGCTCTGTGGCATCTTCTTAGCTCACAGCAACCTCAAATTCTTGGGCTCAAGTGATCCTCCTGCCTCAGCCTCACAAGTAGCTGTGGATACAGGTGCCCACCACAATGCCTGGCTGGTTTTTCTTTCTTTCTTTTTTTTTTTTTTTAAGTAGAGAAAGGGTCTTGTTCTTGCTCAGGCTGGTCTCAAACTCCTGAGCTCCCAGAGTGCTACAGGCATGAACCACCACACCCAGTCTGCTTGCTTCCTTTTTAATGCCATGTTTTAGCTTTGGGGTAGGTGACAAAACTTGTTTCTGTCTTTCGGGGTCTGATTTTAACCTGTTTTTGGAATTTTGCAAAGTGTTTCAAACAGCAGATACAGGCCCTTGACATAGATGGGGTTTGGGGGGGGGGCTCCTCGTGGCATGTTTGGCCCAGGACCCTGTCCTCAACTGCTACATGACAACTTTCAGCCTCTGTGTGGAGAAGAGAAAAGTGCTTGTGTTTTAGGATCTTGAGGTGCAATTCCCTGAAGTCTGAGAAGAGAGGAACAAAGTACCATGAGAAAAAAGAGCTTCAGGAATTTTTGGATCAATTTTTATTTGGGCTTCTCACAGTGGTTAGAGCCACTCTGTCTTCAGAACAATCACAGCACAGGAAATGCGTCACTGGGACTGCCCAGAAAAGTCTGACCAGCTGAATCTTATTGCTTAAAATACACATATTCACAATAACTGACAAATGGTGATGTGCCTCACACAGGAATGTGTTAGCATTTGCAAATCTTCTGACTGTAGCACCAAACCCTCAACCAATCCCTTCCTTCTCATTCACCTGGAAAACCAGACTCCAGCAAATCTCCTTGGCCCCTTAACTATTCCTTCCATCCTATTCCCATCTTTTTGAGCAGGGTAGCCTCTTCTGGCAGAGCCAGACTGCCTTCAGGAATAGAGGCCAGCCCTGCAGCTTGCATTTTCATCTCCTCATGCCTTCAGGGTAGGATGCTGCAGTAAATCCAATGGTTAAACTCAGGCTGGTTCCCCACTTTAACTGGGGAAAGAAACTTGAGAGGGTCAGAGTTCACCCATTTGATAGTTAACTGAAGAAGGATTCATTTTGGTAAAACTTGTTCTTCTTTGAGACACTTCAGTGAGTTATTTGGATTTTCTTTTAAAAAGCTGGAAGGAAAGGCATCTGAGGACTGCTGACACACTCTGGCTAGCTCTGACCACACACCAGCTTGCTTGTGTCATCTGGATTCAGCAGAGGGAGGTAGGTCCTGCGGTGCCTGTGGTGTCTGCCAAAACCTCCTCCTGGCAATTCTGGGCAGGGCTGATGTCTGGGCCACAGGTAGTGTAAGCTTGTCACTGAAGATCCAATCAAGCTTCTGTATGAAATTCTACTTTTGCCTTCTGTCCCAAGTGGTTGTGGACATCCCCATAAGCTGATACCGAGGGGCAGGAGCAGCAGAGGGAGGCAGACAGGTTCAGAGCACGTTTCCATTTGTAGGGAACACAGGCCTCTGAGTGTCCATGGAGCAATGTGCAAATTGCAGTGATGAGCAGAGTAAAACCTCTACTTTGAGCACAGTATCTCTGGCAAACAAAGGGGGACTGCCGTTGACAATGCTACTGAATACACCCGAGTACGCAGTCAGACATTTGTTCAGTAAACAGTAAATGTGTAAAATAAACTACCTTGAGAGGGCCATCTGTGCTCCAGACGTGTGGTTCACGTGAACAGAATGGCTGCCACTCAAAGTATCTTCACAGGAAAACAGGGCTTGGGGCTCACACACAACAGACACACACATACATGGGTCACCCAAAAAGTCACTGTGTATGGACTTCACTTTGTTCAACATGGATTTTGGTTTTGGGGAATCTAAATGCAGACACTTGTTCGTCTCACAGCCTTTGATTTGTCTGTTTTTGGATATATATATATATATTTCTTTTTTCTTCCTTTCTTACCATATATCAATACCTGGTCTGAATATCATCATTTAAGAGTGGGGGAAGAACCAAACTCTTCATATGAATAGGGCTGAATGGGGAATGTTAGTTTCGGCTGTTTGCTTTCTCCATTTAGATTATTCCTATCAAAGCTCAACTGGTTACCTAAAGCCAAACAACAGTCATAAGGATCCTGCAGGCCTTCTGGACAGCTGCATTCATCCTCCTACCCAGGTCACTTACACTCTACATTGGCTACAGAAAAATGAGTTGCCCCACTCAGAAGTGGTAGGGACAAGGCATGAAAACCACAGATAACTCAGGTATTTCTTCCAAGTGGTCAGTTTAAAACAAATAACCACCACCACCACAAAAGAAAAAGAAAAATTATTCAAAATCAAAGGCAAAATACTGTGTGAGAGAGCCAGGCTATGGGGTTGCCCTTCCTTGGGACCCACAGCTTCCTCAGTCCATTTGTTTACATGGAACAGTGAGACACAAAGGCCAGCAGAGCATATGCTTTGCTGGTGCCGGGCACCTGTGGGCACAGATTGGAAGGCAAAGATGCAGAAAGCTGTACCTTTCCCCACTGTCCCTGGGGCGTCCTGCTCATAGACATCCCAAAGATAGCCCCCATCTAAGCCTTCACACAAAATACTTCTCTTCTGGTTCAACTGCAGCCAGGATCTTTTTTTTTACAGTTTTAGCTGGGGCTGGGCTTGAACCCGCCACCCACAGCATATGGGGCCAGCGCCCTACTCCTTGAGCCATAGGTGCTGCTGCAGCCAGGATCTTTGAAGGTCAACTTGGGAAAGAGCCACAAACTTTCCTTTCCCAGAATTCGTACATGCTCACTGTTAAGATTCTTGTTTTCAGCTCTCTTTTGTTGTTTTTAAAAGAAAAATCAAAGAGAAGATATAATAATTTTCTATACCTGAACCAGCCTACAGCCAGCCAGAGCCTGCTAGGAAGGTGCCCCTCAAAGATGCGCAAAGTGCATCTATGTTGTCACCTGGAATCTGAGAGATCAACAAGCCCCCTATCAATCTACCATACAACTACCCATGAGCTCTCACTGTTCCACATCTTATTAGCCTCATTCTGGCTCTGCAGACCTTGGCAGCCACAGGTCACAAATACTGGGCCTCTGTGGGCTTTCTTCTTCACCCAAGGCCAAGACGGGCTGCCTCTCCTGGACTGAGACACAGCAAAGTTCTTTCAAACTAAAATCAGAGCATAAATCCACTCCATTACCAAGAATTATCTCAGGGCACAGTCTTAGCCTCCTTCCTTGGGGGTTTTAAAACACACATCTGACCCAAACAGGAAGGTGAGATATGACTTAAAAAGAGGGTGTGGGAGTGGGTTATGAAAAATGAGTTACAGAGCCAACTTCTCAGCCCTCCACAACACTGTGCTTTTGTGGGGGAAGAGGCATCCACCCCGAACTGTACCTGGAGATGTAGGAAAATGCAGGGGGGGGGGAATAAAAAAGGACAAAGTGGCTGTACCACCTTCTCTGAAAGTCACTTAATGCTTCTCTTGTGGTTCTCCCCAACCCTGGTTGCTTTGCCAAATTCTTGGGAATAGGCAGGGCCTGCTCTAGCTGGGGGAGCTGCTGCTCTGCGAGTTTGCAGAGTCCTGCTCATTGATGGTATTCAGCAGCAGGCATGTAGGCAGCCGTGGCAGATGGGGGTGCCCAGGTTCTCGAGCCTGATCCTCGGAGGGCTGGCAGAAGCCTTCCTCCTCGTCACCGGGAGGCCGCACGTGGCAGCTATCACAGAAGTCCAGGGGCCCATCCAGAGCATCATCGATCAGTGTGTTGAACTCTTTGAGGTCATCATCATGGTGGCCTCGGTTGCACACACACACTTCAATGCCCGAGTCACCTGTAAAGCGGCGATGTCTCCCAGGGGTCTTGTCTTTGCTGTCAGGGAGTGCACTGCCATGCTCAGAGCTGTAATCCTTCAGCAGCTCCTCCTTACATTCTGAATCTTTGTCCAGGAAGGCCCCTGGGTCCAGCTCCCCAAGACCAGCCACAGAACCACTGGACTCCATTCCAGGAGCTTTGGTGGCTGCTTGGTTGGCAGGCAGGTCAGAGGGCTCAGGGTCAGCAATGCTTGGGGGTCTTGTGCTGCTTCTGCTGGGTCCAGACAAGGGGCTGCTCTGTGCCCCTAAGGAACCCATGGTGGGATCAGTGCCTGGGGGGCTGCCACCTGTAGGGCCACACTGTGGAGGCAGCTGCTGCTGCTGCTGCTGCTGGAGCTGGAAGGCACTGTATGGTGGGGGAGGAGTTGGAGGTCGGTTCACCACTTCCTCATAAGGAGGTAGTAAATAGTTTGGCAAAAACCCTAAAATGGGGAGGCAGGGAGGAGAAATTACTGCACTGGTAATTGTTCTAGGATAGACGTCAAAGCTTGCACTAAACACATGCATTATTTCTTCCTACCCAGCATACCCAAGTGACAGCTATAGCTCTTGGCTGTGGGAAGGGAGAGGGCTGTGAGCAGTTCTGCAGAGAAAGAGAGACACTATGGGAGTGACCTGATTTGGCCTCTTGAAATCTGAGAGTCCCTAACGCTGGTTCACAGGCAAGGACTTCCTACCTATTTGGAGTTAAGGCAGAGGATGGCCAAGAGATAACTTCTGCTTGGAACAAACCTGTCTTCACATGCATACAAGTCTCAAATTTCTTGCTCAGACTGTGTCTTCTACCTAAATCTCATAGGCCTCAGGGTCAAGGACCCTAAGTAAGACTTCCTGAACACTTTTCTTTCCTTTCTCTACCCTTCCAGATATGCCAGGAAGGTCATATTCTGGGAGGTCAGAAATTTGTGTTGTCTCTCACTCTGGTGTGGCTGGAGGTAGACCAAGCTTTGTCTTGACTATGATCAATAGGCTTGGAGCCTGTAGCACAGGGGTTATGATGCCAGCTGCATACACCAAGGGTGGTGGGTTTGAACCTGACCTGGGCCAGCTGAACAACAATGACAACTACAACAAAAAATAGCTGAGCGTTGTGGCGGTGCCTATAGACCCAGCTACCTGGGAGGCTGAGGCAAGAGAAATCACTTAAGCCCAAGAGTTTGAGGTTGCTGTGAGTTGAGACACCACAGCACTCTCCCAAAGGCAACAGTCCTATCTTTTGAATGTGCTGAATGCCTTGAGGCATAGGTAATCTAGTTATAACAATAATTACTAGCATTTTTTATTTTTCCGAGACAGAGCCTCAAGCTGTTACCCTGGGAAGAGTGCTGTGACATCACCGCTCATAGCAACCTCCAACTTCTGGGCTTAAGCGACTCTCTTGCCTCAGCCTCCCAAGTAGCTGGGACTAAAGCACCTGCCACAATAACTGGCTATTTTTCGGTTGCAGCAGTCACTGTTGTTTTGGTGGGCTGGGCTGGATTCGAACCCGCCAGTTCAGGTGTATGTGGCTAGCGCCTTAGCCACTTGAGCCATAGGCGCCGAGCCATTACCAGTAATTATTCAGTACTACCATATGCCAGGCACTGTGCTAAGCATTTAACTCTTCTAGATGTGGAATTTAAAAAGTTGTGAATGTTTTATTTTATAGAATGCACTGCAGAATGGCTTTGGACAAAATGCACAACCAGGTCCCTACTGACCATTGGAGAGGCTATAAAGAACAAGGCCCTGGTGGGTTCGAATCCCCAGCCCGGACCCGCCAAACAACAATGATGGCTGCAACCAAAAAATAGCCGGGCGTTGTGGCAGGTGCCTGTGGTCCCAGTTACTTGGGAGGCGGAGGCAGGAGACTCGCTTGAGCCCAGGAGTTGGAGGTTGCTGTGAGCTGTAATGCCACGGCACTCTGCCCAGGAGGACAGCTTGAGGCTCTGTCTCAAAAAAAAAAAAAAAAAAAAAAAAACAAGGCCCAAGGAAGTCTAGGGAATGCCTTGCAGTGGCTCACCAACTTTCTGGTTCTCAAGAAGTCCTAATGCCACCCCTGATATGGCAGCTTCTGCTCAGGCACATCACATGTCAGTGAAGAAAATGAGAGGAATTTAGGCCACTAAACTCCACATCTCAATTCACTTACACTATATACTAGCTGCCTTAAAAAAAAAAAAATCCGTAAAGATCTGGCCAGAATCCAGCTGCTGTTAGCTCTGCAATGGCCCAGATGCTTCAGGGACCTGCATCCATAGCTCCTGCTCCCTGGTGCTGAAGGCGAGCCTCCTTATTCCTGTACTTTTGGGACCTGCTCTATGTGGGGAGAAGTGGGCAAACTCCCATGCCCACAGGGCTCTGGCCCCCACGGTACAGTCTGAGCCCTGGGCTGAGCTCCTAAGGGTCGGGTATGATGACTTTGGGTATACATACTGAAATAAAATGGCAGCGCTGAGTAATTGTGGGCTTCCCGGTAGGCAATCAGGTTGATTTCATGTTGCCGCTGCTGAGCCTGAAGACGGTGCTTGGCTCGACGGTGGTGGCAGACGCAGCAGCAACTGAGGATGATGATGATGGTCCACACCAGCCAGAACCCTGGATGCGGGGGGAGAGGCCAGACAGAGAGACATGTACACACAATGAATACCAGCCAGAGAGGCAGCTCTCAGCACAAGGTGGTCTAGGATAGTACCCACATGGCTGAAGCTAGCACTGGTGACCCTCACCCAGTTAATTTACATTTAAGCCATGTGTTCAATTTTCACAAATGTCTGCACCAGAGCAAAGGTCACATGGGATGGAAGAGAGTAGGAATGTAAGAATAACAACAGCAAAGGAGGTCACTCACTCCTGGGGAAGGATGGGTGCTGAGGCATCTCTTTAGCACCATTGATCAGTCCTCTTGTATTTTAGGTTTGATGGGTATTAAATATGCTCGCCTTTTTGGAAGCATCCGTTTCCTCTCTTAATAAATCTCTGAGAAAATGCTTCAGACTTTCTTGGTGCCCATCTCCTGTACCCCCAACTTAGAAGACTAGCAACTGTAAGGGACCTCAGAAGCCTCCTGTTTAGGATTCCCTAACATCACCAAAAAGATCAGAGGCTTCCCTCAACTGCATATGCCTCTATAATACAAGAATCAGTAAAGTTAGAGGTGGAAAAATTCTAATTGCCTGAGGTCTATCTCTTCCTTAGAGAGTGAAAATGACTTCCTCTGCTCTCAACATAATCCCGATACCGTATAATTCCACCTCCCACTGCCACAATTTACTCCCACCTCCCCGTGGCCTGCCTGTACTTCCATTAGACTCAGGGCGTGCAGCAGCCTTGCCCTCTTCCTCTCTGCTCCGGGGAAAGGTATAGGAAAAAGGTAAAGGCCCAGCCCTCTCATTTCCCATTGTGCTGTCTTTTGGATCATACTCGGAAAATCTCACCAAACCTCAATATACTTCCTTCTCAATTTTCAAATGTATGCAGAAAAGACTTTTAAATGTATGTGCTTTTAATTAATGAGCAATTTTGTTTAAAACACACACACACATATACAAGGGGGGAAAAGAACGAAAGGAAAAACAAAAAAATAATGACACCTTAAAGGAGTAGGATTATGAGAAATTTAAATTTTCTTCTTTCTCATAATCCAATTCTTTTCTTTTCTCTTTCTTTCCTTTCATTTTCTTTTCTTTCCTTCTTTCTCTCTCTTTCTTCTTCTTTTTAAGAGACAAGATCTTAGCTGGGCACAGTGGCCCACACCTATTATCCTAGCACTCTGGGAAGCCGAGGTGGGGTCAGCAGTTTGAGACCAACCTGAGCAAGAGTGAGATCCTGTCTCTATTAAAAATAGAAAATTTAGGCTAGGTATGGTGGCTCATGCCTGTAATCCCAGCACTCTAAGAGACTGAGGCAGGCAGATCATCTGAACTTATAAGATCGAGACTAGCCTGAGCTAAAGCGAGACCTTATGTCTTTTTTTTTTTTTTTGAGACCTTATATCTTAAAAAAAAAAAAAGATGGGCATTGTAGTGGGTGCCTGTAGTGTCAGCTACTCAGGAGGCTGAGGCATGAGAATCGCTTGAGTCCAAGAGTCTAAGGTTGCTGTGAGCTATAATGCTATAGCACTCCACCAGGGGTGACAAAGTGAGACTGTCTCCCCCAAAAATAAATAAACAGAAAATTTATCTGGGTGTGGTGGTGGGCATCTGTAATCCCAGCTACTCAGGAGGTTGAGATAAGAGGATCACTTAAGCCCAATAGTTTAAGGTTGCTATGAGCTATGATGGTGCCACAGCATTCAACCCCAGGGTGACAAAGTAAGACTCCGTCTCAAACAAACAAACAAACAAACAACAAAAAAAAGAAAGGTCTTGCTCTGTTGCCCAGGCTGGAGTGCAGTGGCATAATCATAGCTTACTGCAACTTCAAACTCCTGGGCTCAAGTGACCCTCCTACCTTACTTTCCAAGTACCTGGGAATACAGATGTACACTACTATGCTGGGCTAATTTTTAAAATTTTTTTTTAATTTTTTTTTTAGAGACAGTCTCATTGTATACCCCTTGGTAGAGTGCCATGGTGATGTCACACAGCTCACAGCAACCTCCAACTCCTGGGCTTAGGTGATTCTCTTGACTTAGTCTCCCGAGTAGCTAGGACTACAGGTGCTTGCCACAATGCCTGGCTATTTTTTTGTTGCGGTTTGGCTGGGGCCAGGTTTGAACGCACGACCCTCAGTATATGGAGCCCTACTCACTGAGCCACAGGCGCCACCCCTCCCCTTTTTTTGAGACAGAGTCTCAGGCTATCACCCTGGGCAGAGTGCTGTGGCGTCACAGCAACCTCCAACTCTTGGACTCAAGCAATTCTCTTGCCTCAGCCTCCCAAGTAGCTGGGACTACAGACACCCTCCATAAAGCCTGGTTATTTTTTTGTTGTTGGAGTTATCATTATTGTTTTAACTGGCCTGGGCTGGGTTCAAACCTGCCAGGCTCAGTGCATGTGGCCGGCACCCTACCCATTGAGCTACAGACACCACCCAAATTTTTAATAGGACCTTGCTAGCCTGGGCTCAGTGATCCTCGGCCTCCTAAGCAGCTGGGATTATAGACACGAGCCACTGTCTGACTCTGCTTTCAAATTATAAAACTAGAAACAAATTAAATTTTAAAAATATCTGTGACTCAAAAAAAAAAATCTGTGACTAATTTTATTTTTGCTAGCTTTATATTAAAAATTAATAAATCAATTTCTGGATAGGCTTTTTTTAAATTCCTCTAAGAATGTAGCCATACAATGAAATAATATCATCTTAAAAATTATTCATAGCATATTTTTTGACATATAAGGAGCTTCTGATATTAAAGGAAAATTACACAACAATATGAAATATGATCCAAATTTTTGCTTAAAAAAGTACATGTGGGGTGGCACCTGTGGCTCAGTGGGTAGGGCGCTGGCCCCAATATACCGAGGGTGGTGGCTTCAAACCTGACCCCAGCCAAACTGCAACAAAAAATAGCCGGGTGGGCTCTGTGCCTGTGGCTCAAGCAGCTAAGGCGCCAGCCACATACACCTGAGCTGGCGGGTTCGAATCCAGCCCCAGCCCACCAAACAACAATGAGGGTTGCAACCAAAAAATAGCCTAGTGTTGTGGTGGGCACCTGTATTCCCAGCTACCTGGGAGGCGGAGGCAGGAGAATCGCTTAATCCCAGGAGTTGGAGGTTGTTGTGAGCTGTGATCCACAGAACTCTACCCAGGGCGACAGCTTGCAGCTCTATTTCCAAAAAAAAAAAAAAAAATAGCCAGGTGTTGTAGCGGGCACCTGTAGTCCCAGCTACTCGGGAGGCTGAGGCAAGAAAATCGTCTAAGCCCAGGAGTTGGAGGTTGCTGTGAGCAGTGTGACTTACCTTGGCACTCTACTGAGGGCGATAAAGTGAGACTCTGTCTCTACAAATAAATAAATAAATAAATAGGTACATGTGGACAGAAAAAAGAGAGGAATGATCAGGAATTTAATCATCTGGTTAGCAGGACAGTAGATTTTCTGGTACCAGCTCCTTCATTTTTTGCTTTTCTGTATTTCCTAATTTTTCTAAAATGAACATGTATTTCTTCATAGTAGAGAGAAGATTTTTTTCTCAAAAAATTTATCTGAGGAATAATTTTAGGGTATAATATATTAAAGGAGAATATATTATATTATTGTTCATTTGTTGTCTATTCCTGAATAACTTCCATTTTTCTCCATTATAAATACTATGTGCATTTTTTGTCATTAATTTTATAATCACCAATTTGTGTTTAAAATTTTTCTTTTTTTTTTTTTTGGCTGGGGCTGGGTTTGAACCTACCACCTCTGGCATATGGGGCTGGTGCCCTACTCCTTTGAGCCACAGGCACCGCCCCCTATAATTTTTGAAGTATTTCCACATGTATTTCTTGTTTAGAGTTAAACCACATTAATATTGTTTGAAAAAAGGAAAAAAAAAAAGACTTAGTGCCTGTAGCTCAGTGGTTAGGGCACCAGCCACATATACCGGAGCTGGCAGGTCCAAATCCAGCTTGGGCCTGCCAAACAATGACAACTACAACCAAAAAGTAGCCAGGCATTGTGACGAGCACCTATAGCTCCAGCTACTTGTGAGGCTGAGGCAAGAATATCACTTAAGCCCAAAAAGAGTTGGAGGTTGCTGTGAGCTGTGAGCCACGGCACACCATTGAGAGCGAAATAGTGAGGCTCTGTCTCAAAAAAAAAGAAAAGAGAAGGAAAAAAATGTCTCCCTGTCCCCTAAATAGACTTGTAAATGAATAAATTCCTGTTTTCCTTTGCTATTTATATACATAAAATATTTTAAAAGATGCCACTGGTACTTAGGGTATAGTGTGGAAAGACTAATGCCTCTTTCTCTGTTCCCCTGGGATTTTCTTGCTGAATCACCCTACCATGCTGCCTTCTACCAAGCAAGATGGGATGGTGACATGGCCTCCCAGCCCTAGCAGGCTGGCAACACTGACCCAAGGCACTGACTGCTTTCAGAAGACATCATGGTTCAACCAAACTTTCTTGTTGGAGCCTTGTAACAAGAGAACAGGCAAAGGATAACAGACAGAGGGTTTTTCCCTTTTACTCATCCACAGACAGAAAAAAAAACCCATTCCTAATGAGAGAACATAAATTGAATTTAGAAGTCTCCCTTTTGGTCCTGCCCAAGTTCACGAATGAAACTTAACTTCCACTTCCCTCCTTATGAGTGCAGGCCGATTTAAGACTAGACACTAGCAGAGGAACCCTCAGGGAATGTTACAGAGGCCAGGAAGGAGCCACGGAGTGAGCTGGCTACCTGACATAGTCCTGTCACATCTCCTGGATGGGGGTGGACACTTTGCTTAAGAGACACTTTGCTCCACATGTGTCTGGGAGTCAAATCTAAACAATTCTTGGCTTATCTACCTTTCTCTTACTTCCTCAGTGCAATCTCACAATGCATGATACTGTTGTATTACTTTATAATTTTATTCTATGTATTTATTTTGGGGGCAGAGTCTCACTCTGTTTCTCTGGGTAGAGAGCTGTGGTGTTATCATAGATGACAGCAACC